CGGTAAGCAATTTTTTCTTTCTTTTCTTTTTCTAGTGAAAAAACTTATCTTTTCTTATATCTATCAATCCCCCCATTTTTTTTTTTTTTTTTTTTTTTAATTATTATTTGCTTTTCTTCATCATTCACATTCACATTAGTAAATATAAATATATCACACACACCCCTTGTAGCAGAAAATATTGAAAAATATTGGATACATGTGTATTTAATATTTTTCAATATTTTCTGCTACTAGGGACTTTTATTTTTTACGTTTTATCTCTATTTTCTTTTATCCTCTCCTGATCCTCCTATTTGTTTTATTTTTCTTCTTTTTTTTTTTTACATTTGCAATTGTCTATTACACCAAATCCTTCCTTAAAATGAACGACCTCACCCCTATCCATCCTCTCCTACAATATTTTATTATTTCGCCGCCATTAATGCTAAATTAATCCAAAAATTACTAACAATAGCACATTTATTTTTATTCGTCGTCGAACGACGCGTCCACCGAGTTTCGCGCGTTACCGGTAGGAAGAAAAAATGTGCTTGCGCACACGCGCATTTTTCTTTGTTTGTTAAATCTTTGACAAACCAATAAGAATGAAGAATGAATGTCAAAATAATATCATTGAATTGTGCAAATTCCTACCGGTATCGCTTTATATAGGTTGCTTTTTAAATTCGTGTCTCGCGTTTTATCCAATGGCCGAATCCTACGAGTTTAAGGGATTCGCGTTCTCGCAAGGGTGATCTCGGGAGAGGTGGAGGAATAAGATGAGAAGGAGGAGGAGAAGGAGGAGGAGGAGGAAAAGGGAGGATGATAAAAGTAGCTCTAGGATGATGATGAATATAAAATAAAAAAGAGAAAAAATGAAAAGATGGCGTTGTTATCGAGGGGCGCTTCCTGGTCACCCTTGTGCCGCGTGCTCGTAAAAAAAAAAAATGATAGAAAAAAAAAATAGAAAAAAAAAAAGCAGTGGAGAAAAGAAACCCTGCTGAAGCACGTGAACTTTGACTTTTCGGCGCAACCAGGAAAGTCGCTGTCTGCCTCGACAACCGGAAGCAGCACAGGCGGTGGTGGCAGCGGGGGCGGGGGTGGCAGTGCTGGTGGTGGAGGAGGAGGAGGCGGAGGAGGAGGAGGCAGCAGCGGTGGTGGAAGTGGTGGTGGTGGTAACGGTGGTAGCAACGCTGGTAGTGCCAGTAGTGGTGGTGGTGGTGGTGGTGTTGGTAGTGGTAGTAACGGGGGTGGAGGAGGAGGCGGAGGTGCTGGCACTGCTGCTACCGGTGGAACGGTTGGTAGCGCTGGTGGTAACGGTGGTAGTGGTGGTGGTGGTGGCAATGGTGGCGGAGGAGGTGGTGGTGGTGGTGGTTCACTGAGCGGGGGTGGAATCGTTGCTGTCAAGCAAGAAACTACCGTCGAACTCGCCAACTTGGGACACGGCTCGTACACGATGGTCGACTCTACGACCTTTCTGAGTGGTCAGCAACAAAGGGTCAGCAATCCATCCGAGGACGACGAAGTGCCGAGTCTACCCAGTATGTCCCATGCGAGATGTGAGGTTACGTTTGTGTCCCTTTGCATGGGCATGTTCTCGCGCTCTCTCTCTATATATATATACATATATATATTATTATATTTATTATATTTTTATTATCTTTATTACATCTTATACTTTCTATATTTTATCATTCTTTTTCTTTTTCTACCTTTTTTTATTTTATTTACATCTTCTCGTTTTCTTTTTCTTTTTTGTTTTAAATTCGCGACAAAGAGTCCGCGTATGTAAAAAAAGAAAAAATCTGAAAAAAAGGGATAGAACAAATAATCCCCTATGATTTTTGATAACACTCCTAGGTAAAGAAATAGAAAAAGTTACTAGCCCTCTGCGCCCCCTCCCCACGCAAGATCATCTTGTTTGTTAAAAGTAAATGGAAGATAGAGTCGTGATTTCTTATCCGATAAACTGAAAAAAAAGATAAATATCGAGTTTTCTCGTAAGATTCGATACTTTGTGATTACGTGTTCTATATTCTATCTTTCTTCTTATTTTACTTTATTTGTCGGTTGTTATTTAATTATAACTTTAATTGTATTTTCCTTTTTTTT